CTGCAGGCCCTGATGAGGTTTCAGTGCTTCTTTATAAAGAATTGAGAGAAAGAAATGAAACCCTCAGTTGTGATAATACGCCACGCCGAGGGTTTGTTTGTTTTTTCAGGTTTGCCGTATTCGTTCAAATCCAAGACAAGGGGGTTTTCTCCAATCAGCTTGCGGGGGGTGGGGGGGAAACCCATATTTTAGTTTTGTGCACAAAGCAGGTGGAGGGCAGGCAGCTGCTGGAGGTGTAGCTCTGGCCCTGAGCCCAGGTCAGACCATGGCAACCACTTGCTCTCTGCAACTTCTGCCTTCTCCATCCCCCATCCTCTTCCCTACCCCCATGACTCTCAGGTACAGCTCAGCTCCATCTTGGGCCGGATTCCCTCCAGGGCATGGAGCACGGGGAAACTCTTCCCTTGCCCAGCTGAACAACAGCATCCACCAAAATGAGGTGTCAGTGCAGAGGGAAGAAGTCAGGGGTCAGAGGGCAAGAGGACTGTCTGACCCCCACCCCCAGCCATTGCTTTCCCTGATGTAACACTTGGGGGGGTCCTGAATTTAAGACAACCCTCCAGTAATGAAAATTCTCTGTCTAGAAAACGAAAACAAATGTATCCATTTTCCATATCTAGAATCTTAATTATTAGGGGGGTGTCATCTTAAATTCACAATCGTCTTGGATTCAGGTACATACGATACGACTAATATCACTACTAAACATTATGTACTGTTGTTACGTGACCTGCAGCAATCGTGCAAGCGTCTCCAACCATTTTCCAGGCATTGAGAGAGAGCGTCCTCTTCCCACGCTGTTGAAAATCAGTCTGGTCTTGGAGAGTCACGTAAAACTTTGCCCTTGCTAGAAGGAAAAGAGTAAACCCATGTATAATAAACATCATGTAGGTGCAGAACGGAGCAGGAAGGGGCCCTTATCTAATGGCAAGGTTGAGGAGATATGACTGCCATTTCTTGTGTGATTTTCTGTGAAGGAAATGATCGCCGTATATCCAGGGATAAATGGTATAAAGCAGGAAAACGATGTGTTCTTCTTTATCCTTTGCTAAAAGTGCCATCAAATTGAGAGTGAAGGGCAACATATTCCAAGTCAGGGAAGTTCGTTTATACTCTGTGTCTAATTAGTTACAGCCACAAGGCACTACAGGGGATAGGCGACCAAAGGACTGTTTGGCGAGAATATCCACCGTTAGTTTAGATTGGATAAAATTATATATGCCAGTAACCTCATCTGCTTCAAGCCCTGGGCCAAGTGGTGGCTTAGGAAGAGGTTTCTCTTAAGGCGAATGCAGTTGTCCTTTGGAAGTCTCTAGTCCCAGCAGGTGTCTGGGACAGGATGTGGGATTAGATATAGGCCCTTTCATCGGGTCCAGCCTGGTCATCTGGATTCCTAAAACCTGTCCTCTGCAGCTCCCTTCACCTCCAGGCACAAAACCAGGGGCATTGCATTGCCGTCTGAGCCAGTGGCTGCCATCAGAGCACACGGGATGCTGAGGTGTGCCGGTGGGAGAGGGAAATGGAGAACAGCAAATTGAGGCTGGACCTGTATCTGTGTCATTGACTCCTTGCTTTAATAGCATCACGTGAGCCATTAAACCATCTCAGGCTTTAGGAGGAAACCCAAAGGGAGGTAGCAGAGGAGCACAGAAAGGAGCAGACACCACTGCTTCTACCCACAAAGCTAGCGATAGTCCTATTTGTTTGCTGCCTGTGTCCAAAAGAAAGCCAGACGCCTTCTATTTTTTCCCCCTCTCCTTTCCAGTGGACGAAGAGTTTGAAGTGGTGTCCACCCAGCTCTTGAAACGTACACAAGCTATGCTGAACAAATACCGGCTGCTGCTCTTAGAAGAGTCCAGGGTAAGCCTGATTTCCTTGTCCTGTGTCTGTTGCAGTGGCTTGCCTACACCGGCCCGTTCTGCTGTGCCCTGTGCCTTTCTAACGCGGGTTCAAATTGCACTTTCTTTCATTCATTATGACTGTGCTGAGTGAGGTCCAAGCACCGTGTCCTGTAGCACTGAGGATGGGGGGACATGTCACAGTCTGTTTTCAATGAGCAAAGCCTGAAGCTGTGAGTAGGGGAGATTTCCCTTCTCATCCCTGGGGAAAAAGCAATGGCCAGCACATACATTCAATGTTCATTTTGCCATTAGACATTAGCAACAGGGAATTTGGCAGCAGGCTCAGCTCTTCTCTTCTCTTCTCTTCTCTTCTCTTCTCTTCTCTTCTCTTCTCTTCTCTTCTCTTGGGGATCATTGATCTCCCAGAAATGTAATGGGAAGTGATGGCAGACGACAGAAAAAGGAGAAATGGGCAAAAGTAAGGGAAGTTTAGGTTGGATATTAGGAAAAACTCTTTCATCAGGAGGGTGGTGAAGCACTGGAACAGGTTACCCAGAGAGGTGGTGCGGTCTCCATCCTTGGAGGTTTTGAAGACTTGGCTAGACCAAGCATTGGCTGGGATGATGGAGTTGGGGCTGGTCCTGCTCGGAGCAGGGGGTTGGACTAGATGCGACCTCCTGAGGTCCCTTCCAGCCCTCATTTTCTAAAATTAAATGAGGCTACCAGCTTGGTATTACAGCTGCGATTCTTTTACCCCATGCTGCAAAGAAAGCAGAGGCTGTTTTCAGTCTATCTGGGCAACTTCAAGCCCTGGATCCTTACATACCTTTCTCTCTTCCACTTCCGCCTGGTTTTGCCCTCCATTCGCAGAGAGTCAGCCCTTCCGCGGAGATGGTGATGATCGACCGGATGTTTATTCAGGAGGAAAAGACCACGTTGGCGCTGGATAAGCAGCTGGCGAAGGAGAAACCAGGTTGGATATGTCTTGTAGAGGGGTACCGAGGTATTCGCACAAGCCTTCTCTTCCAGCTTCGGTTAGAGGAAGCTTTCCAGCAGGATGTTTCTAAGGGCAGAATTGAAACCTGCTGGTTTCAGAAAGTGCCAGTCTCTGACCCCCTCCTCCTTCCTCCCTGAGCCAGAGGCACAAGTCGGAGTGCCGCTGCATGAAGTGGGGTCCATATTCCCCTCCCGCCATCCCCATCTGAAAGATGCCGGTAGCTGCAGCCTTTGATGCACAGACTCTTTGCAGTTCTCAGCTGGCCCCATTCCAGATCCCTTTTTGCTTAATGTGCATGTGCTTAATTTATGGCATCTCTTTCCCAGCCCTAAAAACTGGCTTGTCTCCTCTCAAGGGAGCTGGACAGATGTTTGAAAGCAGGAGAAAAGCAGCATAGCCTAAAGGGAAAACTGTGACGAAGCAGTTGCCTCTGGAAGGTGACCGGCCACGTTATCGCGGCTCTGAAATGATTTCTGCTGGGCAGGTCGTGAGCGAAGGACTGTGGGTGGCTTTATGAATGATCATATTGCTCTCACGGTGCACTCCGTCCGAGCGCATAAGGGACACAGTGCAGAGAAGATGCAAGCAGAAGCCTCAGAGAGAGGAGAGAGATTGAGAAACACACGCCAGAGATCACAAGAGGGGGGAGAATTTGGAGTTAAAAGCAAAAAAACCCCGGCTGAATGTGGGGGGACCATGGACGTGTGAAAGCAATAACTGAGATGCCTTTGTGGGTGGTCTGGGAGCTTTAGATAGGTCAGACTCCCAGGGTCTCACCCCAGCTATTAGATGGGGATAAAACTTCCTCCCTGGGCTAAGGGTGAATTAATTAGCACGTGTCTGGGCTAGGATGGTTGCATCAGGGACCATCCTGCCTTGAGCTGGACTGGACCTTGCGAGGTCCCCCATGGCCCAACATCCTTATTGCCCGTGGGGCCGAAGTGCGCTGGGCTGTGTCGCTCTGATCCCGTGCAGCCCCCTGACGTGTCCCTCCTTGTGTTTGCAGATGAGTACGTGTCGTCGTCCCGCTCCCAGAGCCTCCCATCCTCCGCGGCTCTCGCCTCTGCCTCCAGCGCCGCCCCAGCCTCTGAAAGCCTCAAGGTGCCTCCGGCGCAGACGCCCGGCCCCATCAACCCCACCAAGCTGGTGATCAAACACAGCGGGGGCTCCCCATCCGTCACCTGGGCCAAGGCCTCGCCCTCCCTGGACGGGGACGAAGACGCCCTGCCTTCCCGGAGCAAGCCCCCCATCAAAACCTACGAGGCCCGGAGCCGCATTGGCCTCAAGCTGAAGATCAAGCAGGAAGCCGGGCTCAGCAAAGTAGTGCACAACACGGCCCTGGATCCCGTTCACCAGCCGCCCCCCGTGTGCACCGTCATCAAGGCGCCCGACCAGCACACCACCCCGGCCGTGGCCACCTCCACCCCTCCTGTGGCCACCGCCCCGGGTCAGATGAACGGCACTGTGGACCATGTGGCCCCAGCGCCGGCTGAGAAGAAGCCTGTGGCGACCTACTGCCGGCTCCCGCTTCGCAAGACCTACCGCGAGAACGTGGACGCTTTCGTGGCCGACAAAGCCACTGATGCCAAGGGGGGTGCCCCCAAGGCCGACGCCGGCACCCTCAAGCAAGAGGACGGTTCCCGCAGTGTCATCACCTCCCTCAAAACCCACGAGAGTCCTGCGGTGGCCGAGAAGATCCGGCCAGAGGAGGGCTCCAAGCTGCTGTTCTTCAACCGGAGCGACACCCGGGCCCTGGGGTTACAGGGCAGCCCCGCTCCGCCCAAGCCGGACGACGCCACTAGTGGCCTTATGAAGGAACTCGCGGAAGTGGAGGACGAGTTTTACCGTGGGATGATCAAAACGGAGCCCCCCGACCACAGCTCGGGCGCGGAGCTCACCTGGGACGTGCCCCTGCCCCCCGCCAAGCGCCGCAAGTCCGAGTCCTTCGACGTAGACAACGCCAGCTTCTCCAGCGACAGCCCCCAGGACGACTCCCTCAATGAGCACCTTCAGAGTGCCATCGACAGCATCCTCAACCTGCAGCAACCTCAGACTGGGGGCCAGACCATCCGGACACCCTCCTCCTCCTATAACTCCTCTTCTTCCCCCTTCTCGTCGCCCGTCCACCGCACGGACGCTTACCTTGCCCCAAATCACAACGGCGGCCTTGGAGCGAGGACGTTGAACAGATAACAGATGCCCACAGCGGGCACGGGACAATTAGCAAGGACCGAAGAAGACGCTCTTGCTGGCGGTAAAGGTGGGGCAGGGTTGGGGAGGGAGTGCCCGGTGCCACCTACCGGAGACCCGACTGTTCGGGCCTGGCGCCGATGTGAGTTGGGGGGTGGGGGGGGAAGGAGGGCGTCCGAACGCCGCTGCATTGATACGATGGGTTTGGGATGTCACCGAGGACCGAGCGGAGGTGGGATGATGTACCGCACGCTCGTGCCGTCAAACCCGCGCGCTGACGGCGAGCGGGCGGGGGGCAACAGGCCCCTGGGTAGCATCGGCTGTGTAATGTAGAGTCTGTAACGAATCCCCCGATGGGTCTGGTTTTCCCCTCTCCCATCTTTGTCCTGCCCCAGCGGCCTTCAACCCTCGAAGGGACTGTAGATGGCTCCCCCGCCTCCAGCCCACCCCAGCGGCCTTCCAGCTTCGAAGGGATTGTAGACGGAGCCGGCAGGACGCTGGGGTGGGGCCAGAGGTGCCGTTGCATCACCGATTCATTTGTTTAAGTTATTCCCTGCATCCCACGCGGGCTTTCGGACCCTCTCATCAGCCAGCCCAGGCAAGAAGAAACCCCCAGCTCTGGCCCCCCCTGTCCAGCAAGGAAATACAAACACTAAGCACCAGACTGCAAAGTTTACAGATGAACCAGGATGTGTCCCAGGTGGGAGGGGGGCATGGGAGAGCGGGGGCTGTCGCCAGGCAAGGGGATTTCCAGGGCTGCGTGTTGCTCTCCAAGGCAGCCGGGGGGGGCAGCCGGGCTGTGGGTTCGGGCATGTCTGGTCTGCGAGTCCGGCCTGCCACGGTCTGCGCAGAGCCAGGCGAGCGCGAACGTTGACACAGCTGCCGTCTCTGTTGCTTCATCCTCTCGGAGGGCTTTGCTCTTCCTTGCCCTCTTGGCCATGCATCGGGTGCCCCCTTCCTCTCTTGCGAAGCCATAAAGAAGGCCCTTTTCCTTTTCGTTCTCCGTGCCCTTCGTGGGACTCGGCTCCTGCCTTTCCAGTCCCCCCCCAGCCTGGACCCTGAGTCCCGTCCTGCCCAAGTCATCCCCATCACGAATGCTTTCGCTGGGTCCGCTGTGACCCTGGCTCTCGGCTGTCAGCTCTGTCAGTCACTTGTTTCATCAGCTCTTTTCCCCCCTGGCTCCTTCCTTGCACTTTCTGCAGGTGCCAGACCCCAGAAGCAGGCTGAAGGAGACGCCCCATTCGATCTAGTGCCAATTTCAGCCACTGGGTCCTTTCCCCTGGGGCAGGGGGTGGTGTTTATGGAGCCCAAATCCTGACGCTCGCCTTCTGTTCACACTCCCAGCGGTTTCTCCTCCTCTGTTGATCCCTTAAAGCTGTCGGCCGGAGTTGAGAGGGGAACTGTTTGGTTTGGAAGCAGCATTTCTCTCCCTTCTCACCATCCCCTGTCCTCCCCCCCACGTGCTCACGCTCCATTGTGGACGTATCCGGGTTTCTGGTCAGTCTCACAGTGACAGGCGGGCGACCCGTGCTACAGGCGACGCCAGGATGTGTGTGCATCAGGCGGCCTTCCAAAAGCAATACAGCCGCTCCTGCCAGGAGCTCCGAGGAGGCCCCGAATAGCCCCGATCATGCCTTATCTCCCCCCTTCCCCGGCTAGATGTTTCCCCCCCACGGATGAGACCAGCTGCACACCTGTGTTTTGCGTGCAAGCGGTGGCAGCCGGCATGTACAGAGAGTGTCGCTTGTCCCCTTCGAGCTTTGCTTCCATTTCCAAGACGGTCGGAGTCCCCATGCCATCTGGTATCGGTGCCGTGCATCTTGTTACCTTCTGCTCCATCTTCACCCCCAAGGATGCAATAGCAGCTCACGCCGTATCAGCCCGGCGCCTCCTTGGAGAGGTTTTCCATTAGCGATGCTTGAATCGAGCAGCTCAAGAGATGATGCAGGGGGGTTGCAAAGGGCTGGCGAGGATCCTCGGCCTCTCCAGTTGCCGACTGGATGGGAGAGAGGGAACCCTTCCAAATCCACCTGCCGGCTGCATGGAGAGAGACTGCGCAGAGGTGGAAACCTGGGGAAGGGGACCGTGCCCTGCACGCCCCAGGGGTCTTCGCTGCCTGGGGAGAGGTGGAGAGAAAGCCGAGTGTACGGAGCAGACTCTTCTGTGTTGCAGCTGGGCCAGGGCAACCTTCCCCTGGATTTGCAAGCAAAGCACCACGGCTGACAGCTTCCCCACCCCAGTCCCGTGCGAACACCGGCATCTGTCGCCGCTACCTTCTAGTGTTTTCTCTCGCACGGTATTTCTTCTGCTCTGATCCTCTGGGAGCGTGAATGGGGTTTCATCCTTCCTTATCCCTTGTCTTTTAAGCCTCTCTTTCTCCAATGCTGAAATGCTCCCGAGCGCTCAGAGAGAAACCGGGCCAGAGCAGCTGCTTCGTGCGGCAGGCGCGCTAGAAACCATGACCATAAAGCTCACATAGGTGTGTCCTATTTCTGCGTGTGCTTGCACACACGCACGCAGCTCCTACCCTACGGTGTTAGGTGGGCCCCGCGCTCAGCAGAGCAGCTCGTAAAACTGCGGCGTGAACCCATTTCACTCCTAGAGTTTTAGTCTCGTGGTTTTTCAGGGATCTGCTGAGATGCGGCTGCCTCTGGGGTGGGCACGGGGGGCCTGGGTATCCCAGGACTCTCACGGCAGTGTTGTTATCTCTGGCTCACAACTGTCTTTCCCACCCTGCGTGATAGCAGCAATTCAACTGGGAAGCTGCCTGGGTGAGGGGGGGTCCCAGCTGAGAACCGCAGCCCTCCTGCTTGCTTTCCATCGTGACCCCAACCCCTGCCTTACCCCCGTCTGTATTGTTACTCGGGATTTGGCATATCC